ATATTGGAGGTTGTGGAATGTTAGAACCTGTGGAACTTGTAATATCTGATAACAGACTTTGGTCCCATTTCAGGAAATCATCCCTGTGCAAGAAAACTCATTAACATATGCTGAAGCTCTGCAGAAGGCAGTGAAAAATATGCACACTCTTAAAGTTAGGCATGCACTTTCCTGAAAATCTCAAAGTGTAATTTGATATGGCTGCAGGTGCAAGCTTAGGCAAGAAGGTGTTCTCTGAGGCTGGAAAAGAGGTCGTGTATCTCTGTTGCTGCTTTGTGGCATATACAGGATGCAGGTTTTCTTACAAAAAGGAGACATTTTGTAAGAGGAATGTTTTGGGTATTTATTGGTTACTTTTTTTAAAGGAGAAAGTCTTATTTTGATTGCCCTAAAAAAAATTGTGATTCATTTGTATTAGAAGCAACCAGGCAAGTGAAATGTACTCCATTGAAAGAGGAAATGATTTTAGTCTGCTTCAAATTCTGTTTGCTTCAAATGCTTACTCGGCTCAAATATTTGTATGAAAAGATGTTCTGGTGAAAATTTGAGCCCTGTGATTAATAGCTAGAATCTTCCTATCCACACCCATTCATCTAAGCCATCCAAGAAGTCTTTCAAAAACCGAAAGGATTTATTTTAGATCTCTAAGTACACATCAAGCAGAGATAAATAGTTTTTAAAATACAGATACTTGTAAAGCTTTTATTTCATAAAGAGATGAAAAATGGCACAAATAGGTTTTCTCTCTTCCAAGTTACCTATCAACGAATCGTATGCAGTTATTAAAGACCTGCTTAGATTTTCCCACTTTTTGGTGAGTGATATTTTTTACTGTTACCTGAACTTTCTTCTTAGGTCCATTTCAATTCCCAGATACTGCAGCTGAAAAACAGTTTAGACCTCAGAGTATAGAAAATGACAGTTCCATGGCAAAAGGACTGCCTTCAGGCTTTCAGGAGCAGCCTTTTTTGATTACTGTACTCAATATGGCTGTTAAACGTCCTATAAACAACTAATGCCAAATATCCAAGAGAGGAATTTGGCCTTGTGTAAATGCAGGCTTTTGACTGTCTGCGGATGCTTTTATTTAGAATAAGGTTGCCCTATTTCTAAATAATGTACTTTTAAAATCTATGTTATTTCACAATTGAGGACTGTTGTTCTAAAATTATAGCATTCATGAAGAGCTCAGCTACCATAACTGTAAGTGTAATATGTGAGCCATTTTGTTATTTTGGTTGCACTTACCATGTAGGCAGATCTTTATATTAGTGTAAAACTGGTTATTTCGGCTTATTTTGTATCTGTAAATTTCCCTGCTGACCTATTTTCTCTCTGAAATGATGGATCCTTTGTATGAGAACTGAGCTGACTGGTGCAAAACCAAGGACAGTCCAATGATAGTCCTAGACACTGTCCAAATCTATTTCTAATCAAAATAGAGCCAGGGTGCAGACGCACTAGAAGTGTGCTAACTCATTCTTAAAATAAAACATCAATTTTTTCAAAGTGCAAAGAGGCTGATGAAACTAGAAGTAGACTGATTTTCCAGCCTTGTAGTGCTTCCAACCTTTTACAGTCTCCCCCGTACAGGTTAAAAACACCTCCTTTTTTACAGAATACAGTACTGCGACAACTCAAAATTCAGAGGATGGGAAACCGTTATAGAAGACAATATAGATATATTCCTAAGGCTTGGGAGAGAATGTCAAAAGAAGAACAATATATCAAATAACATGATTGTTATTGAAGTCAACTTTCCAAGTGCTAAGCGGGACAAGGTGTCATTTTCCACAAGCTATTTTCTTGCTAATCACTGAATTAAAAAACAGCTACCTAGTCTTCAGCTCCCAGAAACAGTCTGACAGAAAATGAATAGCTTTAAAACATAAACTATATTGAAATCCAATGAAAAAAAAAACTCTCATGGGTATCTGGTAGGCGTTTATAGTCAAATATTGGGTATATAGTTGATCTCCGAGAATATTTAGGTGTGGAGACCCAAACACAGATATTCAAAGCCACTTAGGAGGCTCTTTACCTGGAGGCCTATAAATCTCTAGGTGCCTAGATTTTCATCAGTGATATTTACTAAGTGGCTAAACGAATGATCTTGGGAGAGTTGATGCCTGAGCCTTGGCTTTCTCAAGGAACATGTCCCCTCCCTTAGGGGGACATCTAAAATCCAGCCAGAAGACACTCTGAGTTCGGACGTGTTGGGTGGGGCCATATAGGAAATGTAGCTGGGGAGTTCTCATTGCTCTTGCCTGTTCTGTTATTCCTCAGCTAAAGAAGTCAGCTGAGACATGGGAGACCCAGTTCCTTTTCATTCCTCAGTCTTTTGAACAGGTGTTTCCCACCCTCCATTATCACGTGATAACCTTAGGCATAGTCTACTTTCCAGACTGGAGGTGTTCAACATCCATTCCTTCTAGGTTGTTCTAGTTTGCATAGAGTAGCAAAATATTTGTTGGAGCTGAGCAAGGTGTATGAAAACTAGTGTGATAATATAGCCCAGTGGTTAGCACTCTCACCTAAGGAAAGAGAGCCCTTAATCCCAACCCCTGCTCTCATGATTACTTAATACAGGATACTTAAAATTTCATCTGCGCAGGCACTGAGGCCTCTCCTCTTGTACCTGAGTGCCTGGAATGCTAGGCAATAAAGTATTGCTCTCTGTCTCTCACTTAATGAATATTTAATTATTCCCAGTGAAGTAAAGCAGCTTCAACAAGAGGAACTGTGACTCTTTTTTCTGTCCTGAAGCTAACCACTGAGCTCTTGAAGAAAACTGAGCTTCTGCCTATTACCCTCACTGGAGTATATGAGCCCAACCATGTGTTCAAGGCAGGAAATGCCCAGAGAAAAGGAGTTTCTTGGTATAGCCTGAGATTAAGCAGTTAAGTCCTTAAGAGAGCTTGTCTCCATACTCTTGCTATTTTTTGTTAGCATAGTTTTTTTCCTGTTCAGAATGCTCTGGGTCTTTAATCCCTGAATTGTGGGCCCCTGACTCAGGGCTGGGATGTGACACCTTAAAGTCAGATACTGCAACATAACAATATGTGACTGCCTCTGTCTATCAGAGATCCAGCCCATAATCTCCACTCTCCCTCAAAAAAAACCAGAAAGGAAACATAAGGGCCGTGTGTGTTCAGGACAGGCAGTATTAAATGGGCAAATAAAACCGGGAGGAAACAGAACCATGGAACCAATTGTTCAGGATAATTCTCTTGCTTCTGTCCCTTAGTGCCTGAAAATCCACAGGATTGTCTCAGTTGACAGTTATTTTACTGAGAGAGAGGAGCTGGCTGGCAAGGCAGCTCTGGCACATGCGCACAAACCTCCGTTGCTTTCCCATCTGATGTGTCCAGTGCTTACCATTCTCATGTAGTCCCCAACTGATGGCACTCTGAGACCTGCAAGCAGCTTACAGACATCCTGAACTGCTCTAAACTAGTGCAGTCTGTCATACAGCTAGCAAAGAAATCAGTGATCCAGCAGCTGATCCCCAGGAACCACAATGATACTGGCTAGGTCAGGGAGCTGGAGGCAGCATGAGTGGACTTACAGAAAGAGGCAGATCTTGGGATCATCTCTCTTCTGGGGCAGATGGATCACTAGGATTTTGAAAGCAGATGCTATCTCCACAAAGAGATGAACCCCACTGAGAAAAAAGGCAGCAGGCTTGAGTTTTTTCTCAGGAGAACCAAAACCATCTAAAGACTAATCTTCAAATTCATAGGGACCAAGAGGCAGCTAAAAGGCATCTTGTTAAAAGGAGGCACTTTTCCCCAAGGAAATCCACCATAAGTATTCTCAGATGTCAACTTGAAGTAGCTCTTTCATAACTGACTGAATGCCAAGTGTGATATTTTGGCAAGGAAGATGTCTTCTGAGAATTAAATCACTGTGGAAAAACTGCAGAAGATCAAAACAGTGACTTAGGCTGACAGTGTGGGCTCAGGCCAATGAACCATGAACTGCAGACAGGGCAGACTCCTAGCTGCTTGACTACTCTGTAGTAGTTGTACTTATGTATCAATACCTGGTGTTTTTCATTAAGTTTCATATTATAGCCTACTGCTGTACAATTTATTTTCTGCAGTTATTTCACCGTTAGGCTATGTTTGAAAAGATGTTGACTTGTCTATTTCTGTTCAAATTACTCAGAGCTGCCAATATGAAGGTTACCAGGCACAGACACTAAACACGGTTTCTGTTGGTTCAGTCCCTTTAGGAAGGTTTATTTATCCATGGATTCGGTGCCTTGCTCATAAGTCATTGTTTTGAGAAAAGAAGTTTCCCAGTTCTGGGTGGACTGGTAGGGCTTTATTATAATTGGAACATATTTTACCCTACTCTTACTCTATCTTTACTCTTTACTTATTACCTTAGTTTAAGGATGATCTTTGATAGGGTATTTATACAATTGTCAAAACTGAGGATCTGAGGTTTTCTAATTTTGTTTTACTGATGCTGTACTGGCACTAGTGAATCCCAGTTAAAGAACTGGACTTGACTCAGTGGTTCAGGGTTCAGTCTCTGCTCCTTTCACATATTCTCTGATCCGCAAGTAATTCACTTCTGTGTTGTGACTTCCTTTTTCGGTAAAATGGAAATAATGACAGCTAGAAAGAAAGAAAGACTGTCCAACTACACTATTATTCTTCAGAATAAGGTTTGCCTTTTACTGTGTGCTTGTACAGTTCTTAACACAGTGGGACCCTGATTGCTACTGTAATACATAAGTAATAATGATAAGGTGTGGATTTTGTGTTTTCCACTGTCAGCATGATTCACTGTGAAATCTTACTGTTTGTTCTATCCTGCTTGGATAAAGAGCATTGTAACTAGAGATCAGAAAAATACTTAACACCACTTAATAGATAAGGCTACAAATATACAGCAACAAGTAAGGAATAGATTTGCATTACAGTTATTAATGTGCAACTCTGATTAGAACAATACTGTATCAATCCTTTACATTTATGTAGCATCTGTCATCCCAAAGTGGTTCGAGTTCCAAGGAAAACACAAAATAGACACAGGAATGTGACCATCCATACCGTAAGTGAAAACCAGATACATGAAGAGAGATTTTTCTGCGGAGAACATTTGCTGGATAGTGAAAGGAAGGAGCAGTTAGAAGAAAAGTTTGAAATAAACAGAAGAGAAGTGCTCTCCATTTTTGAAGGTAAGTAAGTATTTTGTACTCGATACTCATGATGTGGTAATACCAAAAGAGCTTTGGAGAGTTGTTCTAGTTGGATGACCAGTAGAAAAAGCTCCATGGCTTTCAAGGGAAAAATTACTGATGCTATAAATACGAAATTGCTTCTTACACTGGATATAATAACTGGATAGTGATATTGTATCCTATATTTCAAAGCATGTGTTGAAACAGCTAGGTACACGCAGTAAAGACTGCCTAGAGGAGAGACTTGTGAGAGAAAAAGCCTAGCACGCTTGGATATGCCCGAGCATGAAGCCTGCCATGAAAGATAAGGCATCTAATGTATGAAATGTGCGGAAAGCGCAGCAAAGAAAGTGCTGAGAAATCACAAGAGATTTGGCAAAGTTAGCACAGATCTGTTTGAATTAGACATGAACATTTAACTGCTATTAGTGCAGCCATTGTTTCCAAACTTCCTTATAATGTAGATTCACAGGAGCAGATTACTTTTTCACTTTTAAACTACTTATGTCACTATGCAAAATTGGTGTGGATTTTTTACAGATACAAATATTTAATCTTACCAAAATTTTTTGTACATTCAACATCTAATCTTATTAATTAATCTATTTCCTTCATACCTGTTGAGTATTCCCAAGTGAGATGTAAACATGGTGACGTTTAGGACACAATACTTAAAATACTCTTTGGCATTATCTGTGTGTAGAGTTCTCTTAAGAAGAGCACAGCCTACAAATCATGCTAAGTAATCTTTCTGCTCTACTCACAGTTAGCAAGGCCTTAGCTGGATTGCTATGTCCAGTTCTGGGCACTGCTCATCAAGGAAGAAATGGACTACTGAAAATAATCCAAAGGATAGCGCTGAAAATGAGTGCAAGTCAAGGAAACATGTCCAGTGAGGCAAGAATGAAAGAACTGTTGTTGTGTAGCCTAAAGGAGAGAAGACATGGTAACAGCCTTCACGTTGGTAATAGACTTTTGGAGAAAAGGGAGTGCTTTGTTTCCCATGATGGTAGCAGTGTGCAACAAGAAATAATGGGCTTAAACTGTAGGAAGAAAGAATGAGGTTAGATGTTGGGAAAAACTTGCTAAAGGTAGGGATGAGGAAGCAATGCAACTCTGCAACAGGTTTGCCTCAGGAGATGATAGAATCCCTGTCACTGAAGGCTTTAAGTAGAGGTTAAACAAACATCTATCAAAAATGCGGTAGTAGTTAATGACTGGAAGTTGATGACCTCACGGTGTGCTTTCTAGTGTTTTGTTCTTATGGCTCTACGTTGGTTTTGGGTTTAAGTTACATATTCAAAATTGTTGAAAGAGTTTTCTTCAAACTTTCTAAAATAAATCCTGTCTGGACAGGAGCCAACTGTGGAAAGAATCTAGGACAATCTTTTCTTGTAAAAGATACAAACCAGATAAAGTAGCCATGGACGCTGAAGTATAGCATTCATTACTACAAACACTTTAATTAGATAGCTAAAACTGTACCACAGAAATATGCAGAACATTAATATCATCAGATTTCCCACTTAGAAATGTATGATGTCACCTGCACACATGATGAACATCTCTGGTGCGCAGCAAAGCTGCTGGAGCAGCTTTTTGAAGTTGTAGCATGACAAGCTTTTGGCAACTGCTTGGAACAAAGCTGCTCTGATGGTTGTTTGATTAAGCAAATCTGCTGTGGTAAATGTCTGAAGCCAAGCTGTTTCTGCAGCTGTTTGAGCCAGAGCTAGTCCTGCAGTTTTTGAAGAAAGAGGGCATTTGTGAAGAATGAAGGAGAGAAATGAGAACAGAAAGAGAAAAGAGAGAAAGAAGAGTTTTAAAAACCCTTGAACTACATATAGCATTAAAAACAAAAGCGTGTTTGCTTTCAAATAGCTTTGTAAAACAAAACTATAATGCCATCTTGGGGTTTTGGTGATATTGGCAATTACATATACATAATATGCAGGATTGCTAAGGCTCTGTATGTGTATATAAAACATATTAAAATGTAAGCTTTAAGAGTGTCATTAGAGATGCAAAGTAAAGCAATCAAAAGGTAGGAAATGCCAGAAGTCAGTTTGTCTGCAGCTTTACTCATCTTCCCTGCACAAATGCCTTTCGTTACATATCCACGTATGTTTTTTTTTTCTAGAAGTTCCAGCCTCAGTCAGCACTCAAGGGTGACAGGTACTTTTAAAATTATATTTGATGTTTTGTTTTCTTTTCCTTGTTCAATGTGAGTCCCTCGGCCTTGTTTGTTGCGTAGTATTCAAAACCTGCTCTGACAACAGAATGTTTAATTTCCTCTTGATTTTCTCAATGCTGCTCATCACTGTACTATCTGAGTGCTTCACAAGTAAAAATGCGCTTAATTTTATGATATACCTCTATCAGTTAAAGTGCTATTGCTGCCCCTGCTTTATGCAGAGATATGATTAAACCTATCCTGTAATTTGGGGTGCTCAGTTCAAGGTGAAGATCTTGAGCCTTAGTGTGGCAATTTATTTACTCAAGTTGTAATTCCCGTTGACTTCTGTGATATCTCTGAGTGTGCAATGTTTCTGTAAGCCAGTTAACAGAATCTTAGGTGAGGCACCCAGAAAAAGTGGTACTACATATAAAAAATTTTTAATGTAGATGACTTGCTAAGAATTACACAGGATTTTGAGACAGGTGTAGGGATACAGTTTCACTGTAAAATAAATGAGGCATGTATATAATCATGCAATTAATAATTGTGTCCATTTCAACACAAAGGAGCCAATATACAGTCTCTATGACTGTATAGATAGCTTTGTTTTTTCCATTTCCTGATTTCTGAGTACTTGGTTTGCAGTCTTAAAAATGTTCCAACATAATTTTTTTACGAGTAGGTTAAGTTTCCCTTTTCTTGATCCAAACTAAAAAAAAAAGTTATGCCTTAGCATTACGTTCATCTTTTATCAAAAAAGCAAAATGGAAAATGTAGACGCATGACATGGTTTCCTGACATTCAAGCTAGCAGAATAACTAGGACTAATATTTGCCATCCCCTATATGGACAAACGCAAGGTAATAGAACATTTTAATGGACAGTTTCCAATGTATTTTATGAAGACAGTTGGATTGTTGGAGTCAAGGTTCTTAGGCTCTGCTGCAAGCTCCAGATGGACACATCCAGAGGACATAGATGCTTGTATTCTTCCTGCAAAGCCTAGCCACTTCTGGCTCCAACAGTCACTGCCTCAGGCTTATTTTCCACTTGACCTTGCTCCTCTTTCCAGCTCAATTTTCATTGCTCTGCAAGTCTTGATTCCTTCCACTAGTTCCTTTTCTTTCTAGCTTTTAGTCTGTTCTGTCTCTTCTCCTGGCCCCTTTTCCTTCTCCACCATAGATCTCTGTGTAGACTGGCTTCCAGCACCAATCCCTCGCCCAGTCTGAGTGGTTCCTTCAGTCTTTCTCACAGTTGCCAACATTTCATTATCTACTCTTAATTTTTTTGTTTCCTGCTGGCTCCCAGTCTCTTCACCTCCTTTTCTGTGTGCAGTTCACTGTCTCTACCATCATAATTGTCCCAGTTCCCTCTTCTCTCACTCTATCTCAGTGTCCTAACATCCTGGTTCTTGTCTGCTCCTCATCTCGAGGCAGATTAGCTTTTTTGCACAGTCTGCTTTTAAATTATGTAGCTTCCTCCTTCTCACTTCCTGTTTGGAGAAGGCAGGAGAAATAGAGTTTCTGCACTCAGTCTTGGATGGTAGCCCAGTATGACGTAGAGCTCTAGTTGCAAGGAAAATCCTGCTCAGCCTCGCTCTGGAACATGTTCTATAATTACAGAGTCTTTGAGAAATGCAACTACTGACACCTGAGATTTCTGTACTGAGCATGTGTGAACTGCGTTTTTTCAAAGGATTAGAACATTGCCAAGTATGACAGATTTTCTTAAAAGATTGAGAGAGACACGTCCCTGGAATAAAGGCAATCCTCTGCCAAATGTTAAGCCCATTCTACAAATCATGGTAGTCTTATTATTCCTCTCCCCCTGCCAAAATTCACCAGAACTCTGTTTTTATATGAATAAAATGATGTGTTTTCCCTTAGCCTTGATCTCAGAAGTGGCTGAGCTTTTGTTTCCAAAAAAAAAAAAAAAACCCAAATTCAGCCTGAGGCAGATGCTCAATGTGGAAAATTTCAGTGCAAATAATTAAACTTTGGCCAAGTTACAAATAACTGAAAACAGAGTCTCATCATGGGAAATGTTGGACAACCTTGCTAGGCATTTGCGCATCCAGGCCTGTCTATAATGTAATGTCCATTAAAATTTGGAGCAACAAGTCTTCTCACAGTCATCAGAGAAAAACTCATCTCATGGCTTTGTTGTCACCACATTGCAAGTTTCATACCACAGCTACTGTAGGAGGGTGCAAGGAAGTTACTTAGAAAGCTTTGTTCTCATTTTCATATTTATGATGCCTCATCTGCAATTATTGCCACTGCAGCCATACAGAAATCCTGAATCAGGTCGTACACAATCAAGACTGATTCAAAATTTATGAGATTAGAAGAGGGTCGGGGGAAGGTGCTGATTTCTCTTCCAGGTTCTGTGCTCTGGAGGTTTTGTAATCAAGTACTTTTCCGTAACTGGGAAGGCAAGAAACCTTCATTTACATATTATCCATGTAATGAAGTTATACTAGGAGCAAAAACGTTAAGACAAATACCAAATATACCAGCAGTTTTCAAGACTGTGGACTCAGAGGCCTATGTAATTGCTAGTACATTTTTCTTTGCATTTACTATGGACTAAGAGCCTGGATACCGAGTGCTCAGCTGATGCACAGCCTGCCCCTGCTTGTTAAGACGTGGCAAGTCCCTGGTGTATTTCAGCCCTGTTTTTCTGTTGACTTAACATTTAGGTTTGAATCCTGTATTTTTCATATTGCTTTAAAAGAATTGTCAGTGGATATTGTATACCACCTGAGAATGAAAGCAGCACCTTGAAGGCTCAGCACAGGGGCTGAAAGAAGTACTTGAAATATGTCTGTAACTGAAACAAATCGGAAACAACGTCTGAGCATCTCTTCTTTGGCAGAAACTCTATATCAGTGGCTGGTATCAAGAAAGGATTCTAAACCCAGACAGACTGTAAAAGCTGCAAAAGTAGCTAATGAACTTCATACAGGTCGAAGAGGAGATCTGTGATCATAACTGAGCAAAAGGTGGTTGTTTTGAACTAGATTAATTTCAGCTGTTTTTTAGCAGACCTTTTTCAAAATAGTGATCTTGGGGAAGGTTAGCTTGGCTTACAAGCAAAGGTTAAAAGATTCAAACAGATATGCCTGAATCATCAAGTAGAAAGCATTGTATAGTGATGGCATAAAGCGTTTGAGCATCTGAGTATCGAGAAGGGGGAGAGGTTTACTGCTGTAAAGGAAACTATAACTAGAATTTCCTGATTTAAATGAAATGAGAGAATATTAAATGTAAGTGTTGGAACAAAATTTTCCTGATGATGAGATTCCCAAAGATGCCTAGGAAACCAGTAGAGATTTGATTTCTTGGTATTTCTAGAACTAAATTGAACAAAGTAATATACAGAGCAGTTACAGAGAGGTGACTGAACTGAGCTGCTTTAATCTCTAATTCCAAACATTCTGTTATTGAAATCCAGAATTTGCACTCTTTTTTTTTTTTTTTTACAGTGTTTAATTAAGGTAGACATGAAGTGCCCGTGGTTTTATCCTGACACATTAAGATTCGTATGAGGTTAGCTACTTAGGGAAAGCCTCTGAGGGAGTGGGGTGACAGAGGTTGTAAAACCAAGTAATTCTGAATGTCACCACATTTATTCCTGAATATTTGGATCATAGCACAATGTATTTCATCATCTATTGCTGGACAGAAGGTGACAGCTTCTCAGGTGAGATGCGTCTCACTTATTTTTAGATGAGTGAAACATAGACAGCTGCATCTGAGCTAATCACTCTTAAGTTCCCTTTACTGTCAAGGGAATGAAGAAAGAACCTTGTGGAGCACAATGCATTTCATCTAATGTAGATGTCTGAAATCAGGCAGAAGAATCACACTCTGGAGGTGAATATTTCTTGCTATTGCCTATAATGGCTGTCTAGGATAAGTAGCTAATCTGAGATGACATAGTTAGGTGAAATGGCTTCCTCTTTCTCTTCTAGGGTGGGTAGTATTGGAGGTCTCTTTGTCACATATAAGCCAAACTGCTGAGATGTTTTCTGACATTTAGAACTACATTAGATGGGCATTTGGGAGCTTCTGCAAAATGCAGTTACTCAGCTTCTGAGTGGGATGGATACTGCAAGCTCCTGACGCTGCTTTTCTGAATTCCATCATGATTTGAAGCGTACTTCTTGTGCCAGTGCAAAGTGCCAATGTCTATTTTTAAATCCTTCAACTGTTTAGGACCTTACTGTAGTTATGTCCTACTGCTGACTTAATTAGCCTACCTTTCCCCCCCCCCCTCCCCCGGCCCCCAACCGACTAGCACTTCTCAGCAGTCTATTTTGGCCCTTTTTTAGTGTGCCAGGTAAGGGTGTGCAGCCCTTTATTCTCATTGCCTACTGGTCCACTGCTTTCATTGGTACACGTGGAGGCAGATGTCAGCTGTTCTTACACTAAATTGCACCATCTTTTGCAGTTAGTCTGCCAGTGAATTTTCATGCTATAGCTAATGGTACAGCAGCTATTGACAGCTACTGCCAGAAAGCATGATCTTGCTCTGCTTTTCTCCTCTCCTCGAGCAGTTACCAAATCTGAGTCATGCCTCAATGTGACTTGATGCACCAGGCTGACCAATGGGAAGCTGTACTTTTTTTTTTTCCTCAGGGTTAGTTTTCCACTGGATCAACCAGTTGAACTGACTCACATTGCAACTACACTGTCATTAGGTATGATAAACAGGAAGCAGAGGGAGCAAGTGGCTACAGACTGACACGGGTACAAGACTTCCTTCACCCCTTCAGCTGCATCATCTTAGCAGCAATGTCAAATGGAAATGACTGTGGTATGGACTGTTCATCAAGGCAGTTACTGCTCTGTGTGAACAGAAGGCTTTTAATGTATTTGGTTGTCTGTTAGTGTCTAATTAATCAGGTTTGGTTTTGCCATTCTATAAATGAATTTGTATTGTCAGGGAAGGTCTTAAAAAGTAATTTACCTGATACCATTTAAGGATGGAA